CCACGGTGATTCACTCGGTTCAATTATACCTTCATCTAGAAGCCTTTGTACTTCAGTTGTAATAAATTCTTTGTCTTCTCGGCTATATTTCCTTGATTTAATAGCTATCGGTTTACAACCCTCTGTTAAATGTTGGAACAAAAGTGGGGGGTCTAGGTTCAAAGCTGTTAAACTGCAAAGTTTCAAAGGAGGGCAGAACCCCGTACTGGATAGTGACACTTTCGTGCAGGGCTTGCCAAGTTTGCCCTAGAATAACATGAGTACACAGATTGGGCAGAATATATAGCTTAACCTGAGAATACAACCGGCCTTTTAACGTTATATCACTAAGACAATATCCTTGCATTTTGTGGAATAATTACATGTAGCCATCGTAACTTTTTCTTTGGTCTGATGAACTGTCAATGAAAGTTGCTCAACCAAATCAGGATGTATGAAGCAATGAGTACTTCCTGAATCTACCAGAGCTGTAACAGTTCTTTCTTTTAAACGAATGTCAATACATGAACTTAGCAATGACTCCCCCATTGCAGCTAGAGTTATGTAAGCTGATTGCGTTAAATTAGAGACTACTGCTGAAGAACGGCAAACTCTTTGGTAGTGCCCTCTTTTTACATTTATTACAAATAGCTTCTTTCGCAGGGCATAATGACCGGGGTGTTGCTTATTACCACAAAGAAGCACTTAGCGGAACGTGAAGTGGAGGCTAAATACCTCTCGCTTAGTCCTTCTTCATTATTTTCGTCATGTCCGTTAGATGCCGTAACAGCAGCGCTTGTGAAGGGATTCGAATTGTATGTCTCCGATGATTTTGTGCCAAATCCCAAGCTCGAGCTTGATCAAATGCCGTTTGTAAATCCAACTGTTTATTCTCCAGTAAACGTTGTCGAATGCTTCCGACAATAGACCACTAATGAAAGCATCCCGAATTGCTTCATCCCGATATTGAGCAGCAGAGACTTGACGAAAATTGCAGTCTTTACTTAGGTGTTTCAGTTCTTGTAGGTATTCGTCAAGGGTTTCGCCTGCTTGTTGTTTCCGTGTTGCTAATTTATGCCGAGCAAAAATCTCGTTCGGAGGCTTGACATATAAGGTTTTCAGCGTAGTGATGGCTTCATCGTAGGTTTCAGTATCACAGAACAGTTGATAAACATCAGAGGTGACATAATTCGCCAGAATGTGTAGTTTATTTATTCGGGTATCAGGAATGGACGGTATTGCATCGATGAAGTTCTCAAATGTCGCGAGCCAGTGCGTCCAGCGTTTTGCAGCGCCTTGGGCGTTCGGAATAACATCAAACCGTTCAGGTCTCAAAACTTTATCCATAGGTATAAGGAGTAGTGTTGAGTAAATTGAAGTAAGAGTTTGACTTCAAGTATACACAAAGAACAACCTTTCGAAATAAGGCTTTACTCAACACTAAATAAAAAACTACATAATGTCTCTTTATAAATAATTATCTCAGACTAGGCGCGGTTACTAAGGTGGGTGTAATAATCATGTAATGATTACTTCATGTAATAATCACTACAATGGTCCTGTCTATCCTTCTGCGAGGCAACAGCCGCTGCGATCATGCGTAGCTCCTTAAATCAGTATATTCACACAGAGGTTTTTTGAAGGTAAATTATATAGAACAAAAACAGTTGCATGTCAGTCACAGATTTAAAATAGTTGATACAACTTCGCGCTTACTGATATACAAATTTTAAAAATAATAAGGAAGCACCAAAAAACACAATTGGATTATTTCAACCCAAAGAGTACTTTAATCACCTCTTAATCAAGGCTATTTTTGAAAATGCAGATGTCAATTTCTTTAAATGTGTTTATTTTCATTCCTGCATTAAAAAATAGCCTTACAGTAGAATATACTGCACACCAGGATTTGTTGTGGCTATTGCCCGAACTATATTTGACCTGTTAACAGGCCTAACTAAGTACGTTAAAGGTGTATTACTATTACACTCACGGTTTTCGACGAATCCTTGGCAGTTTGACGACAGATTACGATCAGTGACGAATCATCGTCAGTTCGACGATTAACGACAAATTCCTTGGCAACTAAGAAGACGAGTTGATTGGACCCTGAGCGCGGATAGTCACAAAAAGGCCCAAATTAATTTTTTGAAAAACTCAGAACGTTGATGGTGAAACCATCGTATCCAATCTTCAGGCTAACTGACAAACATCGCTGGTTTCATGTCGACGACGGCAAGCAAAGAAGCAAGATTGGCCATTTCTTACAACTGCGCATGTCGCCTACGGCATGAAGTCAGAAATATCGACAGTCAGTCGGAAAATTAGGATTTTTAGGTTTTGTTTTTTCATGTTGAAGAAATTCCATGTTTTCATTCAGAAATATTTTTACATTAAAAAATGACGAAATCTGGGCGTTTTATGGTGGCGTTTTATTCATCGTAATTAGTCGACTTCTCTTGCGTTTGATTAACCAGTCGTGATCTTTGCAGGAAAATGCCAAGAAAATTGTTTTAGAATCGGTCAGAATATTGACTTGTCCATGGAAACGGGCGTTGGGCTGATGGATGCATTGCTTAAGTATGGAGTTCAGTGTTTCCATTCTTTGTCGTGATTGCCTTTAGAACAACAGAAGTCAAGTTTTCAACTTCATCAAAGAATATTGCTCATTCTTAATCATTGTTCAGAGGTCTTCATTAAAATATATTGTTCATTCTTGATCATTGTTCAGAGGACTTCATCAAAGTATATTGTTCATTTTTGATCATTGTTCAGAAGACTTCATCAAAGTACATTGTTCATTTTTGATCATTGTTCAGAGGACTTCATCAAAGTATATTGTTCATTTTTGATCATTGTTCAGAGGACTTCATCAAAGTACATTGTTCATTTTTGATCATTGTTCAGAAGACTTCATCAAAGTACATTGTTCATTTTTGATCATTGTTCAGAAGACTTCATCAAAGTACATTGTTCATTTTGATCATTGTTCAGAGGACTTCATCAAAGTACATTGTTCATTCTTGATCATTGTTCAGAGGACTTCATCAAAGTACATTGTTCCTTTTTGATCATTGTTCAGAGGACTTCATCAAAGTACATTGTTCATTCTTAATCATTGTTCAGAGGACTTCATCAAAGTATATTGTTCATTCTTGATCATTGTTCAGAGGACTTCATCAAAGTACATTGTTCATTCTTGATCATTGTTCAGAGGACTTCATCAAAGTACATTGTTCATTCTTGATCATTGTTCAGAGGACTTCATCAAAGTACATTGTTCCTTTTTGATCATTGTTCAGAGGACTTCATCAAAGTATATTGTTCATTCTTGATCATTGTTCAGAGGACTTCATCAAAGTACATTGTTCATTCTTGATCATTGTTCAGAGGACTTCATCAAAGTATATTGTCCAATCTTGATCATTGTTCAGAGGACTTCATCAAAGTACATTGTTCATTTTTGATCATTGTTCAGAGGTCTTCATCAAAGTACATTGTTCATTTTTGATCATTGCTCAGAGGTCTTCATCAAAGTATATTATTCATTCTCGATAATTATTCAGAGGACTTCATCAAAGTACATTATTCATTCTCGATAATTGTTCAGAGGACTTTATCAAAGTATGTTGTTCATTCTCCAAGAAATACTCAACAACAGCCACAATTCTCGTCCACCACTGTGAACAATAACCATTTTATTGAATTGTAAAGTCCACCATCATAGCGAATACACCAACATTTGTTTTTTGTTTCTCAATCTCAGTTAATGATCATTTATTGTTTAACAGAAGAATTTTCATATCTAGAATCAAGCAAAGAAGAAACAGAATTTAGAAAGACAAAAATTTTATGGAAAGGACATACCGCACTTTGCATGAATGAACATCACAAGCAGTGTCCCAATTCAATTTACTTTGTCTAAAAGAACATGAAACAGCACATTTACCTTAACATGGTTTCAAAGCACTCCAAGAGATATTTCACCAAATAATGTCAACTTCGGCTGACGATTCCTCGTGCATCTACCGACTTTCATGTTCACGTTCAAAATGGCATGCTCTTTCGTGGTCTTAAACTAAGGCCATGTTTCACAAACGTGTTGGGTTCTGATTGGTCAGTAACTAGGTGTGTCGTCAACGTGGTGTGCTCTAATTGGTCAGATACTAGGTGTGTCGGCAATTGTACATTGTGGAAATACAGAGTGTCTCAAAAAGCTGCTTATCATTGGAATCAGCCGACATTTAGAATTTGCATGATTCATCATTTAGAAATATTTAATCCCCATAGAGCCGTAAATACAATCAAATACAATATAAATAAGACGTATATTTCAGCTAATGCAAATAGTAAATCCCAAACATTTGAGCCTTCTTGGGCAACAAATACTACATTCTAAATGTCGACCGATATCAAGAAGGATTTGAGTAAATTTCATCTCATTTTCTTAATGTATTTATCCACCAACGTTAACATTTTGATTTCTTTTAGGTCTTGGTCAAACGTTGAACTTTACATGAACCCAACGCATTTAAAACAAAAGATAATGAAGAAGTTTATCTCATTTTCTTTTCTCTTTAACGCGTTCGGTTCATGTAATGTTCGACGTTTGAAAAAGGCCTTAATTAGCTTTCTGCAGGGTGTACATAGAAAACGACTTTCGTCAATTAAACTATCGTAAAATTTCAAAGCTCAATCACTGTGCTAATCTAACTGGTGCATTACATTTTCAATGTGGGAAGAGCTTTTGTACTCAACGTTTCTAACAATAATTTATGCACCTGCGTGCTTCACATAGTGACAGGCATTAATTTATACAAAAGTCTTCAACGGTAAATGAAGGCTAACCCACTATTTTTGCACGCATAATTTTCAACTTAAATACTCAAAGGAATGAATCGGATAAAAAATATTATTACAATACATTGTTTTATTTTTATCGTGGTATTGTAGCCGGTATTGTATGTTGTTTTTTTTAAAGAATTTTCAATCTCCATACAGGAATAAATTTTCATGGTAACTTTTGTTTTGAATCTTTCCACATTCCTATTTTTGTATGACAAAAATGAACAAAATTCACGCTCCGTTAAGCTTTCGACTTCTAGGTCGGCTGAAAAGATTTATTCTCCACTCCCCAGGCATGCCTAAATCGTTCAACGTCCGTGCTACCAGTAGTAAAAAGAGATAATACTCTTGCGTGAAGATTAAAGTCACTTTCTAGCCCAGAAGATTTATGACTTTAAAAATGAAGAAATTATATTCCACGATCCATCTCCCAAATTCAATGTGTTGAATATTCATGTTGTCCTTTTGCAAAGCAACAAAATTACAGCTCATACGTACAATAATTTATTTCCGGTCAAATACGGTGAGGTTCCCTTCTGCTGGCTAAAATACCAAGATTTTATTTCATCTTGATAATTGATAACTTACATTATCCATACAAAGTACATACCTCTCCCAGTCTGAGTTGTGCTATGTTATACGTCCATATCCATCATGTTCCCAGCGTCCACCAGGATGATTTACAGTGTAACCAAAGTCCAGATGAATCGAGAGTGGATTAAATGTGGTTTTGCTCTGAATACGATGCTAAAAACAACAGAAATGAAACATTAAATGAAACATTAAATGAAAGACATTTTTGTATTTTATTATTACATTAGACTCTATGCCATTGCTTAACAATATTTTAGGTAAAGTAAAGACAGTGTTTGTTCTCTGTTTGTTTTTCATGATAATATACAAATGACCAATAGAAAAGAAAAACAATCCTTGTACTATGTAATGTTTATTTAAGAAAAAATACGTCAACTGTCAATAATATGGGTTATTGACTGGTTAAATTTTCGACTTTTGAGAACAAGATTTACCTTTTAACTTTCGTAACTTTTTGTTGATGACTTTGAAAGATGGGCCAAACGGTCGCACGATTTAGCAGTCTTGCCTTGTATAAATACTAGACGCAAATTTCTTTTGAGAGCAAAGGAGGGCCATTTTAAAAGCTGTGTAAGCAGAATCAAACCTAGCAAAGCTTATCTCGATATTGGGTTGGATTTTATCATTGACGGGACGTTTAATAAAGTCAAGCGGTTCTAGGAAAGACGTTAAATATTCACGAAGCGTGAATTACATATCTTTAGGTTTGAGAGGCTTGTCGGGATAAAATTACAGTATTTCTTACTTTTTCCTTCACCAAATATGTTTAGCTCTACTTATATGTATTGAGCACTGTATAACGGAAAAATCAAAAAACGAATTATTTCCTAGTATATTATGCATATATGTAATAAATGTCAACTAGCAGTGGAAGCTGGGTGCGATATGTATGCAGTGGCTTAGGAACCCAGACGTTTCGGGTCGCGACCGCACTCTCCCTGTTTACCCTGAGCGAAGCCTGATGCAGGTGATCTCGGGGTCTGATGGGCGGAAGCCCTCTATTGACATCCCCAGTAGGATAGCGTGGAGGGGCTGAAATCTCCTACCGAAACGTTAACATGCGACGTTCTAGTGCCTTACGCTTAAGAGGGTATCGGCACAGAATAATAGTTATATACAGAAGGGCAACTTAAGAGTGTACCGCGTCCTCACGTCCGACATCATTCCAGCAAGGTACTTAGGGTTTTTCACTTGTTTCCAACCACTGCAATTACATGACGTCATTTCTTCACAATTAAATCGAAAAGATTTCAATATAATAAATGATGTCGTGTCATTTCAGTGGTTGGGAACAAGTGAAAAACCTGAATATCTTTCTGGAATTATGGCTGCCGATATGCGTGGCTCGACATGCGCGAGGACAAAAACATCAAAGGCTCCGACATGAGTCGCCTTCTGTATAAATATCTATTCTGTGGTATCGGAAGGCATGGACTGAAAACGGGATTTTTTGCTTTCGAGTTCAATCTTTTTGTTTACAAGAGTTCTACTCATAAAAGAAAGTAGAGCATCCAAAGATACTGCAAAGGCTCAAACTGCTTCTACTTTCTTCACTTATAATTTAAACCAACACAAAACGTGTTTATACGTTTTTTACTTATTACTTTTCTACAGTGCATGTAACTTTCTCATAACTCTCCCGTGATTAACGACAGCCTTCTTATACAATATAACTCGAGAGTATCCATGGGCTTTATGGAAAAAGGAATTATCAGATTTTTAAGATAGTTTTAACAAAGATAACATTTAATAAGCCAAGCAATTTGTATCGTCTAAATTTTCAAGCTATCTTCACCTGGCGTCGTTGTTTCTCCTCCCTCATGCATGATTTTATTTCACTGTTAGAAGTTTCATTTTCAAGCTATCTTCAACCTGGCGTCGTTGTTTCTCCTCCCTCATGCATGATTTTATTTCACTGTTAGAAGTTTCATTTTCAAGCATTTCTTCTACCTCAACCCACGAATTACAATATCTGTCATAAATATTAGAGCATTGTTTATGCAAAAAATACGCAAATACAAAATTATAGAGAAAAATAAAAACATCTCTTACATTGTCACGGTTATTACGAGTGGCGTAACAAAGTGTTGTTTAGTTTGACCTGCCATTTACCTTTTAAAGCACCCACCAACATTTTGTTTTGCGCCATCTGTATATTCACACACACTTTATATTTTATGTTTTTTTCTCATGTATTTTTGTCCTCTTTATCGCACTTATAATTTTAAACTTGTTGCTGAACTCTTATTATGTAAATCTTTCTATTTACATAAGTATATAAACGCACCTCCTTGATCATTTAATCATTACTATGATGATGTCTTGTGTAAAGACGAAACGTTACTTTAATTAAATTATGAATTCTTACTACATGGCTATACTTGGAATTTTATGTTGGGCAATTGTTTTTAACACGAACCGTTTCACGCCTAAGTAACTCAATTTCCCTCGCTATTTTTTTTTTTTTGACCCAATTGTCTTTTTAAGATAAAACTGACAGGAGCTTGAAATTTCGCTTTTATATACTGTGCACTTGAGTGTGCTTTTTCTTTAAATTATTCAAACCATAGAGTTGCTGAGATTTCAGAAAGTTTAGTGTATCTTATGATTAACATGATGCCATGATCTCATATCTTACAACTTTTCTCTCCGAACACAAGGCTGTCATGCATAAAATTTGATCTCGTAATGTAGCTATATATTACGTACGTATCATCTAGCCACGAGCAGTCACTTAGTTTACCGTAAAACCTTCCACTGTGCATCATTATATTGAAGAAGTCAACTGACCAAGGTAAGAAACGTCGCTTTTTATACTGTGCACTTGACTGTGCTTTTTCTGTAAATGATTCAAACCATAGAGTTGTTGAGATTTAAGAACGTTTAGTGCATCTCATGATTAACATGATGCCATGATCTCATATCGTACGACTTTTCTCTTCGAACACATGGCTGTCATGCATAAAATTTGATCTCGTAATGTAGCTATATATTACGTACGTATCATCTAGCCACGAGCAGTCACTTAGTTTACCGTAAAACCTTCCACTGTGCATCATTATATTGAAGAAGTCAATTGACCAAGGTAAGAAACGTTTAAAACATGTACTGACTTTTGTTTAAAAAGAAAAACCATTGCTAAATGCAGCAATTTATTCTTCATAAAAAGTGTTATCACGTTTGTGTGAAGTTTCTTGTTTGATAATAATAACCAATTTTAACATACTTTACGCAAATATGAAAATATAATCATCGTTTGACTCAACTGTGCTAAATTTTGTAATGTCGGATCGGTTTTTGTTCCACTTCTACAGCGCAGTCAAATCGCTCGGCCTATCGGCATGAGCGCAAAGCCTATCCAGTTTTCGTACTGTAAAAAGTAATCCGGTATCAAGCCTATCCGGTATCGTGTGAGCTGGGCCTAAAAAAGTGGCCACGAACAGTATGGGCGAGCATAAATTGAAAACAAGAGTTTTGATGCTTTTATCTAACTTGCTTTCAAGATTGATTCGAAAACTGTTGTTGATCAAATTATTTGAGCTCATATCTGTTTGCGCAAGTTAATGGAAACTCAGTTATAGACCATTCAGCGTCGCGATTTAATGCTTTTAATTTATAAAAATAACTATTTTTGTCCATTTTTTCATGAAAGGGTGTCGCTAAAAAAAGATATATTTTTGAAGAGCTTATTGCAATACATACTGAAAATACATAATACATTTAGAATTTTTTAATATGCTTTTCGTTGTTCAGATTAACTATAGCGAGTCATGTCATGTGCTTTGAGAGCTGTATTTTAATATTTATTCTCCATAAATGACATTTTCTCTTTCAGGAACAACGAAATGAAGTGTATGACGTATGTTATCATTTTGCTTGCTGTTTTTCATTGTTC